CTCGTCTTGCACACTGACCTACTTTTCCCTAACCTGCTTATGCACGCAGCGCCTTTTGGAATCAGAGAAAGTGAAGATGAGGCAGAATGCTGTTACAGTGGCGCTCAAAGTCACCTTGAAGCCGATCCCTGAATAACAAGTGAATATGGGAGAGAAGTGCAAAAAGGCCAAAGATTAATGCTCACACTATTGTCATGAACAAAGCTTTATTATAAGTACAGTATTTGCAAAGGGAAAAGTTTAGTAAAATGTATCCAGGGGAACACGGATCTGTTATGAGTGCAACGTTGACATTGAAAATTCCCCACTGTGGGACGTATCACGGTCTAACTTATTCTCAGCAAGATGGTCTTTGGTTCGAATCCCGGTCGGAACAGGGTCTTTCTGAGTAGAGTTTGCATGTTCTCTCCGTGTCTGCGAAGGTTTTCTCCGGGTGCTCCGGTTTCCCCTACCACTACAAACATGTACAATAGGTCTGAATGTAATGGATGGTGTTTGGTTGGAGGCTTTTCTGCACCAGTGTGTTCGGCCACTCGCTTCCGTTATCACCCTTTGTGGAGAGAATGGAAAACTATCTGAACTCTGAACAACTGTAAAGCACTTTGGGTGACCTTGGTATGCAAAATGCGCTAAATAAATAAACATTACTTACTTACTTATTGTCTTCCGCTAGAGTATGTTTTTCAAAACTTGCAGTAAGAAGAGAAAGAAGTTAATATGGGCTGCAATGGCATGCTGAACATCATTTTAAAGCTGGCTTTCTAAAAAAAAAAAAAAAGCCACTTAATTTGTTTTATTTTAAACTAATCTTGAATCCGGGACACAATTATGAGGAAGGAAGGCAGTAATAAGCCTTGCCTACTTTTGATCCAGTTTCAAAACCTGGAATGAAATCTTCAGATGCAAAATACCAGTTATAAACATATGGTTAGGGTTAGAGATGGTATACAACATTAAAGCCTAAAAACAGTTGTAGCCCCCACCCCCTGATGTTGAGACCACTGCTATTGTCTTCATATTTGTGAGTGAACAGTACAGATAGAACTCAAAAAATGTGTCCATTTACTCTTGTAATTAAACAAACAATGTGAAACTATTATGTGACAAACTCATTACACGCAATGTTGTAATGTTGATAATTGGCTCACATCTCGTAAAACCCTCAAATATTAAATTAAAACAAACAGTTCGGCAGATGTCACTTTGCATGTACTGAGTCTATAAATCATGTCACGGTTTCACATTTAAGTTGATTTACAGAGAAAAATGCACTTTTGAACAATAAGTTTCTGAATTTCACCTATACACTTAAGTAGCTTTTTCTGAAGGAGGGTCTGCCATCTACTTTTCCATGACATTCCATAAAATTGAGATGTATTGATTTCATACAATCATGAGTGAAAAAAGATGACATATTTTTCTTCTTTTCTTACTTTTCTACTATACTTCGCGCAGCAAAAAGCAAATAATAGCAATGCCATTCTGTGGGAAATTACACAGAAAGCTTCTCTGGAGACAAGCAGCACCCAGACAATATGGCAGCATTTCATATTTGACAGAATAAGAATGGAGACAATTATTATAGCATATTTCGCACTAGTACAGATTTCGAGCTGAAATAAATCCAGGCGTTTTTAGGTGCTTTTAGAGCAGGTGTTGCAACATGAATAATGAACGGGTTACAGCATCTCTCCCTGTAGGGTTCCGTTTGGCCTTTTGCAGCTTGTTACGAGCCTGACCTGGTCCTGTTATAAAGGACAGTGATAATGAGTAATTAGAACTGACCCAGCGCCTCGTTATGCACTTCCAAGTCTGCTCCCAGGTCCGCATTATTTCACCGACTCAGCGCGTCATTCAGTTATGAGTGTGGAAGCGTGTCCCCTACAGAGCCTTTGTGTTGGCCAATGTGACGTGGGACAAGAATTAGAACCAATGGAGAGGAAAACACGAACTAGTAAGTGGCTTTGGCATGTACGGTGCATGCAATAACATTTGGATAACACTCGACATTCAACAACATTTATGGGCCTTTATCAACATTTATGGGTCACCTGCTGCTTATGGACCAATGGCTTTATGTGTTTTTGTATCATGCCATTTCTTGTGTTTGATCGGATTCTCTGATTGGTGTTGGGAAATGCTACAGATAACTATTGTTGTGATTCAGGACTATACAAGAAAACATTGGTTTGATTTGAATTGAATAAAATAATAATACAATTAATAATGAATCATAAAAACATTACTAATATTAAAGGTGATGTGTGCAACTTCATATTTGTGACCCTGTGTATAAAGTAAGTACCATACTTTCCAGACTATAAGGCGCACCTGTATATAAGCTGCACCAGATAGATGTTATGTTATAATGGTCACAACATGATTTAATGGTGATGTGTTTAACAGCTCACCTAATACATATATGAGCCGCAGGGAAAAAGTAGAACAACAAGAAAAAAGTTACGACTTATAGTCTGGAAATTATAGTAGTTATTGCAGTCGCTCTTTGGCATAACCATCACCAGAGAAAAACTACTAGAGGACAATGGTTTGACCAATAGCAAAAGGCCTCGTCTGTGTAGTAAAGATTTGAGTTCATTCCGTCCAATCAGAAGCAGCGGGGGTGCGAATGGGTTGAATGTATCAACCAGTGTGTCGTGAGATATATTACTTAAAATGAAGTGAAGATAAGAGTTTTTGCACTGTTTTGATTTTCTGTATACTACACTTTGATGAGAAAGACTTGGCTCTATTAATAACGGCTGCAGAGATTTATTTTTGTTTCAGTTTCAGCCAGTAAGTGTATGTTTTTCCACGGTTCAAAAAGGTTTTGGAGCACTAGTGTAGAGTGTAAAGCTATACAGTAGCTTAGATCGTACCAGTTATTACAGTTTTAGAACTGCATTAATATTGGCATGGTGGCGCAGTCGTTTGCGCTTGTGCTTCATAGCCAGAAGGTCTTTGGTTCGATTCCACATCCCCACCCCATCACTAAACTCATGTACAATACGTCTGAATGTATGTGGAGCGTGATGGGTTCGATGTGTGTTTGCCGTATCGCTTCTTGCCATCTTGTGTGTAGAGATGGCCAAACTCTTAGTGACTTTGGTCACAAATTAGCTGAATAGATACGTATTACTCACTCTTACAAAATCCCAGATGGTTCTGCTCCTGATATTTGTCTGCATGACAAGTATTAAAAGAACACCAAGGCAAGTTCTTTATGATATGTTCAACATTCTTTTATTTGCATTTTCAATCTTGGAATGCTCCCATTTTCCACAAGGAACTTTAGTGTATACATACATGTCAAAAAGAAAGTGATGGCAATGACCCAGACCACCGCCGCCACTAAACACCACTAAGTTTGCCTGTTTTATACTCCTCTGGCTGTTCCAACGTCGGCAAAACCACAAACAAATTATTAATACACACTTGGAAAGGGGAGGTAAATGAGGCAAACACAGCACAGTCAAAGGACACAGTAGAAGAACAACGATTTGAAAATATAGAATGGATCAAAAACATTACAGTGTTGCTAAAGGGCAGGGGGCTTTACATTTATACACAAAAAGTCCATCGCGGCACATAGACCTTCAGTTTAAGCACCGATATCTGACCAGGAGGGGTCCCCAACAGATACTGCCACGCAGGACTTCTGTTGTATCTCATTATATATTGCCGGTTATTTAAGTTTGAATAGACATTTTTCTAGAAACAGTCTTTAGAGAACATTATGGATAGTTTTAGTAAAAGATGCAACCAATAATCTCAATATAATTAATTCATAATACATTACAGATGTGTGGCCCATGTCTGACCCCCGGCCGGTAACTGTGCCATACAGTCACAGATATGTAAGATAACAGCTCCATAAAAGCAATACTGTTGTTTTATCATCAAATCGATTTCTATCAAAAATGGTTGCATCTCTCATTTATTACACGTGACACTGAACCCAAACACACTTCAGTACTTTGTCAGTGAATAATCCAAACTTATGACACATTCAGGTCTATGTCCCTGTGGGCTTTTCTACAGTGATGGGCATTTACAGAAGGAAATAAATACAATGAGAAAGTGAATAAAACATAACATGTGTGATAAAGCTCAAATAAGGAGAAGGCTTGAAGCCTGCAGCTGGTGGTTCCACCAAATAGTAAAGGCTGGTTAAAGGTCAGGTAAAGTCAAACATTTAATGAGGTCTTAGCCTCAAAAACACCATGTTTTCCATTCAGTGCTATGCCGGTCCCAAAAGGACGGCAGATTCTGTGTAAACAGGGCATAATCAAGTGATTAATGCTAAAGCTTAACAATCATATAAAGGGCCCAAAGTACACACTATGGCTGTACAGTGATTGGATACATAATAGGTGAGCCTTTTCAAAGTCTAACCAATGCAGACATAGTTTACGATTTTTTTTAAAATTTGTATTAATTTTTTAATTGTAAAATATAAATCTTACACAAATATCCATACATTTTAGAAAATACAAAACCCAAGTGCTTAAAAATAAAGATGAGGGTGATCTTCTCTGATACGGAGATGGTGAGAGGGCTGGCAGAGGTAGCGTCTGGGAAGAGGGATGGAACCTGTGTAGTGTTCACTATGTGCTTCTTTGGTCATGTGTTTTGCATTTGACTTTTAAGGCAGCCAGATATGTCTCAAATTGGTATCGCTCAAAGCTTGAATTAACCTACATTCTAAACTGTAGGTGATTTTTAAAACGCATTTAGCTGTATACAATAATATTTGATGACAACTTAAAAAAAGAGTTGGCAGTTCCATTCCTCTTCTCATCACAAACAAAAGTGCTTTTGTTAGAATGGGAAATATGAAAAAATGACACATCTGTACAGATTATACAAATATATACAACATATAAGTGCAGCCTTTCAGTGACATTAAGGGACAGTAAACCTCTGCTTCACTTGAATGTCCAAAGTTTAAGTAATGGAAAAGGCATGATGGCAAAGGGTCAAGGTCCAAGTGCTTTCATTTAGTCCCGCCTTCTGTGTCGTCGCCCACCTGCTTCTTTTTTCCCAGAATCCTTAGGTCCATCAAAAGTACAAGGCTCAGAAGAGCCCTGGTTCTCCAGCTTAATGTCCGGCTGTGGTGAGAGTGATAAGTAGGGATGCTGGGGCAGGGGAGGGGGAGTGGCAGAAGGGAGACTTGCTGGGGACTCTTGGCCTGAGCTACCACAGCTCCCTGTACTCATGGCACGGTGCTTCAGTCTGAGTTTGTGGGGCAGTGCTGTGCCCTTCACTTCACACGGGACATGTTGTGACATGTGAGAGGCACCTTGTAAAGAGTAAGGTGAGGGAGAATAGGGAATACCAGAAGGGTGCAGTTCAGAGCAGTATGACAAAGGTGACTCATCATCAGTGGAGGCCTCCTTGTCAGAGCTGCGTGGATCTCCATCACTGGACGTGCAGCCAGACTGGCCTTGGTAGAAAGCTTCAGCCTCTGGGCTGCCTTCATACGATAGCTCAGGGGGCTCATCCTCCACTTGAGCACTGATATATGGGTGGTGAGGCTGCTGAAGCTGTTGGTAGAGCTGAGACAGGCTGTTTTGGGCCTGCAGGAGCTGGGCCGTTAGCTCACTCTCCTGATGATCTGGCTGGTGGTGCTTTGAAGGAGGTTGGCACACTTGGTACAACTGCTCATCCATGCGTTTATTAGGGCTCTCTGAGAGCTCATACGGAAATCCAACAGATTTGTGTTCCAGAGGTTTTGTCACCTCGTTCAGTGTCTCTGTGGAGTTCTGTCCAGGGTTTGCCAGAAGCTGGTTACTGTGCTTCAGGACGGCCTGCATCTCCATTTCTTGGGAGCAGGTGACATCCACACCATAAGAGTTGCTGCTGGATCCATACAGGATCACACTGCGCTGGGCCGCCGGTGGGTGAGGGGCTGCCTTGCTGACTGCTGGGACCGGAGACACAGCTGCAGGGGGTTGTTTGGAAAAATGATGTTGCTGATTTTGATAAGTCGTCTCCAGGTTCTGAGTGTGCTGCTGGATTTGGTGGTGAGTTGGCACAGAAGATAGACCTCGGTGGATATTAAACATGATCTGAGTCGTAGTGCCATTTGCAATGTCCATCTCTAGTCTGTCTCCTTCTTGTTTTATCTCAAAGGAAATTGGGTCAGGACTGTCTCTAGAGGAGCCATCTGACATGTCAGACAGAGAGCCACGAGGGGAGTATTTGGCCAGCTGCCGGTGGCTCTCATTTCGTCCGGATTGCTCTGTTTCTGAGGAATCTGAGTTAATTGTGACCTGAGAGCTGGAGTACCCATTGGTGTAGTAATGAGTAGAAGGTGTGGAGGACCCACTGTTCATGTTTATGCTGCTACTAGAAATCTGCTGGCTCTTTTCCATATAGGCGGCTGTGTTGATCACACCGAAGCGCAACTTCAGCTGCAGGAGCTCTGTCTTCAGTCTTACATTTTCATCATTCAGAGCCATGACCCGGTTCTCCAGAACCATGTCATTTAGACGCCGTTTCTCCCTGGAGCGCTTGGCAGCCTCATTGTTCTTGCGACGCTTCTCCCAGTAGGAGGCGTCTTTTTTTTCATCAGAGATGAACTCTCTCTTTCTCCTGCAGGAGACATTAGATTTTGGTTTGACAAGTCGCCCATTGCGAGAAGCAGGCAAAGGGGAAAGGGAGTCATCATAACCAGAAAAGTTATCCAGACAACTCATGTTATTCCCTGGGCTTTTGTTTAATGTTGTCAGAGCTGATGTCAAATCTTCCATTCTTAGCTGCCAGATTGAAAAGGTAGCAGAATCTCGGAAGGGTTTCTTATGTATCTACAGTGCCACAGTGTGCCACAGTGCTTGTGCCGAGTGAAGCGATCAGTTCAACTGTATTGAAGAGTCTATGTTAGCCAAGAAGTTCAAAAACAGATGCAGTTCAGCAATAATGAGCGTCATCTATCCGTTTATTTTTTTAGGTGAGTGTCAAGACTAAGCAAGTCTTCTTTATCTTTGTGTGTAGTTATTCGTCAAACATCAGCGTGCCAGAGCCGAGCTGGTGATGTCCTGTATCTGGTTGGTAAAAGCCGGATGTAGATCAGCCGTCTATTGGCAATACATGGATCTCTCTCTCTTGTCTTCTCAGTGCAGATGAAAGGCTGTGAAGACAAACACATAAAGATACATTTAATCAATGATAAATGGAATCATTTTTAATTCAAAGCAATATACAATTACTAGGCAGCTGCTATCTTCATTTGCAGCCCAGACATTTTTGTCTCATCCCTGGCAACAAGAGAATGGGCTATAGATTCCCCGACCTCATGACCCCACCACTGATCTGCTCCCTCTGCACTTTGACCTGGTGTGTTGATGTTGAACCCTGTGATATCATGCAACATGTGTGATCCATGGTTTTCCTAGTTTTATTTGGACAAACCAGCGGGAGTTTTACTGATTTGGCCCCTCAAAAGACTTCTCACAGTTATAGTTAACCCCTAGAGCGCCCTCTCCTTCTTCCCCAGAGGAATGTAAGCAGCAGAGTCGGCCAAAACAAGTCAATGCCAAATTGATGATGCAGAGTGAGCAGATAACAGAGACAAAAGCGTCAGCAGTGGCAGCCAGAGCAGAGTCTGTGTCTATAATAGTAAAATAAAGTTGGAACATGACACCAGCTTGACAATGGATGCTTAAGAATTAGTAAATATAGGTCAAGGGGCTCGTGTAGAGGAAGGGGGCAGGCTTGGGAGGGAATAACACACATTGGTGCAAGAAGGCAAATGTGGAGAGAAAACATTTGGACGTTTCCGACAGTACCCTAGAATAATAACATTAATAAAAAAATGTAATGATAGAATGTGTCAGAACTGTGAATATTTGGGTCATGTGTATTTTGGTAACGTGGATTAAAGCCAATTGGGGCGTGCAGATTTAGAATAACATCTGAACATCTGCTCAGTCAAATTCCATGTTTTTTTCACAGTCCCATTATTAATATGAGAGGGGGCTTAGTTTGTTTCCGCCCATTATGTAACTACAGAGACAAAGTCAATCCAAAAGTCATAATAAAGCTTAAGATGAGACCTCACAGAACCAGCCAGTTCCTCTTTACTGCTAAAACCTGATCCCATGAGGCGTGCACCGGATCACTTTGGCAATCAATGTAAAAGAATAGGGCTAAAGACTTTTTTTTTCATTGTCCCACTAACCCAGAAACGGCCTGACCCAACATAGTAAACACGTGCCGGTGCTGCCTCCACCGTCAAACCTGCCGCACAATATAGGTCAGCGCAGAGATAGGGAAAAGTGAAACAAAAGTACAACAAGAGCGTTGCATGCCAAGTAATACACGTTTAATCAAAGAGAGAGAGAGAGAAGTCCATGCAAGACTGAAGCTGAGACAATGGACATGGAGGCTGATAACAAAGAGATGAGATTATTGCTGGGGACAGAGAGCCAGTTGTGACAGTGTGGGTATCGCTCCAATAGAAAGAGCGTGTTACCCATAGCAACAAAAGGAGAAGAAAAACAGAAGGGGCAGCCAATCGTGTCATGCATTCTGCAGTCCGTGTACATGCGGTCACATGCATAAGCAGAGCAGCCCTTGTAAGGGTCCCCACACTAGATACATGAAGATGACATTTATCATTATGACTCCCACGGCCACTGCTGTCTATTCTCCAATGTAAACATAACAGAATTGTCGGAAAGATTAATGACTGTTCAAATCTAAAATGCATTTATTGAATCAAACGATCAATGACTTTTCAGTTTTGAGCCTATTGAAAGATCATAATATGTCCTATTTCTTAGCAAGGGAATGTCAGTTGGGTTTGGCTCTGGATGAAAGACAGACTGAGAAATAGTCATGTAGCACAGTGACTGATGCATGTGCAGATAGGATCTATTCCCCTGTTGGATTATATTTTTGTAGCTTGACCTACATTACTGTCTTTGTCTTATGTCTTCACGTGTCATTATTGGACTTCTGTGGCACTTGTGGAATCACAGCACAGTAAAAGAATTCAAGTTGCACTCAGTCACACCACCACAGACCCAGCATCAGTCTAAATGTGGCAATGCTTTTTGGAAAGAGCTTAACCAGATCAACCACACACGTGCAGCAGCTGTGTTTCAGGAAATGGGAACAGAGTTAAAATAAAATTGAAAAGGGGTCACCACTTCAGAGAAAGTAAGTCCCCCTCTCTCTGGGAAGAATGCGATGTGAGGCACGTGGGGCAGGATTGGGGGTCAACCATTAGGGTGGGGCTGCCCAAATTCCAAGACTGGGAGCTACTTGTTATCTTCCCAGGAAAACCTGGATGGAGCAAAGGCAAAAAGCCAAAAAGGCGGAGACCAGACTGACCGCTTCCATGGCCATATTGGCCGCCCTCACAGTGACTCAGGCCATGTGTTGCACTAGTCACATGTGCTCCCTTGGCCTACTAAGAAACTATGTAATTCCGCTCTTTAATGTCCCCAAACCACAGGACCACAACAAAGCACAGACCTTATATATTATCACAGCCCATGAGATCCTCCATCATACTTTCTGTGAATTATCCTCATAAAAACCGGCGTTTAGCTGACTGTGGAAGATACAGAATGTACCAAACTCTGAGCCCTAATTTACAGCAGCACACATGGACACAACTCCTCGCTTTGTAACAGAGAGGTGAGGATTTAGTTGTGTAAGGTTTGCATTCTGTGTTTGTGACCAGGGACGGCTGGGCCTCTCCCCCTCCTACTAGAGACTAAAGTGACCTACATTTATGGCTGGCATAGAGACCCACTGTACGCCAACCAATTGGCACACTTCTCTCCAAAGCATGCTGCGCCACAGCATTGCTGCCGACAATGGGTTTCCATTTATTGCATAATTCGGTCTTCAATAAAATAATAAATATACTGTATTTGAATACATTGTACATAACACATGGTTGATGATCATTAATGCACATATTTTGGAAGCTATGAACCTGCAAGGATTGATAAAATAGATATAATTATAATTTTTTTATGTTGAAATTAGATTATACAGGCTTCTAATTCTAATTCACAAACTATCTTCAGATATATCAGGCCTAAAACATACACTTGACCCTCACATGGCAACAGTTCACCAGCTCACATGTGGACCGCTGCAATACGCTGCAGAGGAATCTGAACAGCCCAGTTCAAATAAAGGCCATAGCTCCACAATGTGTGAGTCTATAGAGCCAAACCAACACTGAGGTCTTACGGCTCAGATTGGATGAGATGTGTTCTCCAGCATGCCTCCTTTGTTGGACAGTCTGACAAATCGTCTTCATGCATATTTCATCTAATCCCCAGTCATCCAAGGAAACCACGTAAATCCTTCTATATAAATACGTCCATCATATTACTCAAAACAATTTAAAGTATACGAACAATTAAAATCACAGCAAATATCAACACTTCAGAAGACAAGGAAGACATTTACCCTTGACCCACATTTTCTACAGATGTTTTAAACTCAAAAACCTCACCTCATTGTGGCCCGAATCTATGAACTTCACCCATCCTTCTACTATCTTTGTCTATGCGCCCTGCCCTTTTCCAAACGGTTTTGCGCGTAAAAGAATGTATCCGGGAGCGGAGTAGTAGTGCCTGTAGCGTGCCGCTGTGTGCTGGCTCGCGCTGTTGTTCCTCCGACTGCCACCAAGGGGTTAAAAGAGAGAGCGAGAGGGAGAGAGAGGGAGGCAGAGAGGGAGGGCAGCCGCGTTAACCTTTTCAAAGAGCTGCTACACGTGACGCGCAGAAGTGTGTCCAGCGCCTGCATGGGGATTTTTCCAGTTGTCTGCCCCAGCCGGCCTACTAACCCCAAAAGGAGCTCAGCGCTACTTAGAACGCCCTCCCTCTGCGCGCACGCAAGATACGCTCCTTATGATGAGGCCAATTAGGCTCAAATGATAATTAGATAAGATAAGATTTTCCTTCATTTGTATGTGAGGAAATTTCATCGTTGTGCACATTAGAGAAAAGAGAAACAAAAGCACACATCAAACAGGGTCTTTTATAATGAATTAAAATAGTAAAAAAAAAATAGTAATAAGATGGTAAAATTAAGATAAAGGGTTAGGGTTAGATAAGATATTAAGATTTAAAAAAAAACTCTGGAGCTATTATTGCACTTGGTTCATAGGTATTTACCTTACAGATGTGTATATTGCACTTTAGCAGCAGAGAATATGACCAGAAGAAACAATAGTAATTATGCAGTAATCATAGAAAAACAGATAAATTGACTAGTGAGTGACCATTGGATTATTATCAGAGACACTTGTACAGATTCCGCAGTTCTAATGGACAAGAACAGAGGAACTTTGAAGAGAAAAGGGCAGTGTCCAAAATACTTAATGACGCGTGCTACCTCGTGCGCAACGCTCAACAATAAGAATGCATAATAGAACAAACATTGAAAATAACTTGGATGCACAAACGGTCCATCATAGCACAAGCCTGGTGGATAAAGAGTTTCCCTGCTTTGAAGTCAATGTCATTCACCTTTTCAACAAAGTCAACTTCATGGGAACGCAGGGAATCATTAACTACGTTCAAACATAGCGCTGAACAAACTTACCATAGGGAAAAACACTGACGCAACGACGCACCACTATATACGCGCACCCGCCTAAAATATTTGCGTATAGTAGGAGGATATATATTCACGTGCATCAATGTGGTTGCGTAATGAACACGTAATCATGTAATCATTATAATGCATGCGCAGTTAGAGAGCGATGCGTCTCCAGAAACACTAAAATCACAACAGACTGAAAAAGAGCAGGGCGCGTAGAAGCGGGGACCTCGTTTCGCTGGGACTGGCACACATCCGAAATATATTAACCCACATCGGCTTAATTTACCCTTCTCCATATGTCATTCGTCATTACCACAAACATGATACTGAGAAATTATTAGCAGAGCTTTAAGAAATGTGTGCCCAAAACAAACAACACCTATAGTGCCAAATCCTTGCGTAATACATGCAGCTTGTGAATGACAACAAAAACACATTCAAAACATATTCTCGAACATCTCACCTCTTTTTCTCTTAATGTTTTGAATTGAATGCAGTGAAGAATCTTTACGCACAGTCCAGTGGCAGTTACGCAGCGCCCGTGACTTTGAAAGGATGTCTATGGCGTCAAAATAGGGTCTGCTTAAACGTAACCGTAAAGCAGGAATTGTAAACGTAGGTTGTAAGTATTGTAAACATAAAAAAAATATTGTAAACGAAAAAACTGTAGCGTAACCGTAAAGCAGGAATTGTAATCGTAGGTTGTAGTATTGTAAACATTAAAAATATATTGTAAATGAAATAAATTAAAACTTACATTTACGGTTCTGATTTTTCATGTTCCGCTTCAA